CGTTACATGTCTAGTTTCGAAAAGTTTTTGCCTTATATTAAACATTTATTACTAATCATACGATTATTTTTAGAATATTTTTAATGAATAAGTATAGTTAAGAAAGATTATTTTGCTCATAATGAATGTACAATGACTAATAATTTATAAATTATGTTCAATTAACACTATTTTTGTATCAATCGCATGTAAGTATCATTTAGATTCGAATAGTTTGGCTATCTATACGCCGCATTTTTCCGAGAGACGGCGCTTCGTACGCTCATTCGAGCTACGCATATAGAAACTGAACAAGGATAACTCGGAATCTGGTTCATCTGTTTCTATCACTTTTTTCTATCACTGTTTCTATCCATTGAGTCAGCAGTCTAGTTATAGAAATCTGTGTATGTAACATTAAAATTTTTTGTTCTTACTTTTATGTAATATAATAAAAGCGTGTATATAAAAAGCTTATATCCTTATTTCTTCCTTAATGTTCTATCTGGAGACACGGTAGTGTCTCGGCGCTAAGCCAAGCGCAGCGATTATGAGATACTTCATATATTATATAAGAAATCTTTTGTGTCTCACATTAGGAACTCTCTTTTTTAAATAAGGAAGAAATTGGCACTTTTAATAAAACATTTTACATACAACAAAACTATTATCGATTATTAACTTTTGATGATAAAACTTAAATCTATTTCTCATAAACTTGACATGTAGGAAGAAGTTAAGGTAGAAATAAATTACAAATGAAATAAATTACAAGTTTTTAAAGAAAGGTATTCTATAACTTGGCTGGCGACTTTACCCTAAATAAAAAGTAAGTTTCAATCTTTATTATTTTGTACATCGAACACATCTATATAGGTCTTGCTGTTTATTCTTTTTTTATTCTTCTCATTATTCTTGATTTAGATATAATTGCTACGTAACACACATATCTGTAAATATACCATACATGTTTTATAAATATTTTATGTATATAACAGTCATAGTTAGTCATAGTTAGATAACAGATAATTTGACAATACCCGTGAAAGCCTCAAAAGCGTAGTCTTAGTCAGTGTTTGTTGAGCAACATTATATCTTGCTTCCACTTTTTCTCAAATGTTTATTATCCTATCGCTCGCAAACACATTATGTGAGTGTCCACAGTGTATTGAGTTTAGATCCGTGAGTTTGTCAAATGGATCAACCTCAGGGATAGACAGCTGTTGAGTTGTACGCAACGATCAGGAAGAGTCTTGTCATCTATCGGCGTTTTACAGTACCGCTTTTACAGACATATGTTTCATCGCAAAATTGCACGCACACATTGCACGCACCATGAATGTGTATATACGAGAATCGCGACGAGACGAGACGAGGACGAAGAAAAAGCCATCGTTAACCATCCCCACTGTATTATTTACCAGAGTTTCTCTCCTTTCACCGAGCGCCAAAGTGCATCCACGGGACCTATATTCTGACGACCTCACCTGTTGCGATTAGTTGTCGCTTTGCCGGCAAGATACGACGGTGGCCGGCCAAAAGTCGTCGTGTTATTGAGCATGTAAAATAAATACGCTTTGCTAAATAAGAGGCACGGGTTAAGTGCAAAAATCGCGTTTGTGCTCGCGATTGAGAATCGAAAATACACACACATCACATTTCTAATTTTCGATTACAATTTTTTCTTCCGTGACAAATGTGTACGGTAATTGCTGAAAACGCTACGTTAAATTTACATTAAAAATTACGGTGGTATGATCGTAAATACATAATACCATTTGAATATGATCGACGTGGGAGATTATAAAGATTATAATGTAAATTTAAATTGCGATAGATTCATTTGATAACATTGTGCCGGCCATTTCGTAAATTGTGCGAATTTTCACGGACGATCGTATTTGTTCGCGATTATACGCACAACGCGCGTAAAAGAAAAACAATTGTGTATATATGTACATACAATCATTTGAACATTCTTTTTTGTCTCATAAATTCACTGGACAAGGTCGCCTATCGAGGTTGCACGAATCAAATTCTAAAGAATATCAAATGAACGTGGACAGTGTTAATAATAACACTGTGTTAACCTACGTAATCATTTTAGTCTTTAAAAGTTTTCAAATTTTTAGATTTTGGTACATATATCATAATAACATGAATTAATTTTTACATAAAACTAAATGAAATTGTGTGATTGTTAATATATATAGTATTTATGAAGTGTTTTGCGCCGAGTGTTTCGCTCGTGTCTTGCCGATACCCATGACATATCAGAGGATCACGTCTTGGGATGATAAGTCAGCTGTTTAATGAGTCTATTAAATTTTGAGGTTGAACCGTCTCCGTGTTCAACCTCAGTTGTATATATATTCGCTATATTCTTAAAGCATATTCCGTTATTTTTGCGATTCGGAAATGCGCGTACGCGTTATACGCGAGCGCGACATATGTCTAATTGTAAGTCTAATTCTAAGAACTCTACATTATTTCTTCGTGCAAACTATTACGTTGTTCGAAAAGTTTGTTTCAAATTTTCTAGCTCAAAATAGTACATTGCATATTTAAAAAATTAGCGATTATACCATTCGATAGAGCAAAGTTTTAGCTTTAAGAATCTGTTTTTTTAATTACGGTACAATAATTTTTAACGGAGTTATGAGTAATTAAAATCAAAATGTTCTTTTACTTAACTCACGAATAACTTAGGAACAAAAAATCGTATAGGAACTTTTTTTTTTAGAAAACCTTAGGATGCGTTTATTGTACATTAAATGTGTGTAAGACAGACAGAGAGAGGTCCTTGGATCTCTATCTTATTCAAGTAGACTTGAAAAATTTGTTGCACGACAAAAACGCACAAAATGAAATAGTGGCATTACGGCATTCGCTATCGTTGTGATAATATAGTTGAACGTTCCATGCAAATTCAATTGAATGTTATTGCACGCGCGCAGAATACGGGAGATTTCAATCACAAGACTATCCCGCGGTGGAACGTTGCTCTTTACACCGATTTAGTCCAGCAATACCGATTCCGACCGTATTTGATTCACCTGAAACGACAAACAGTTATGCGACTAGCCAGCCGGCTACTGAGACCACGTCGTTTAATAACGCGCGAGTTACGGTAGATTTAGCGCGCGAAACATCCGGCAACGTCATTAATGTAGCGTATCCATTCGCGTCGCCGTATACCCGGGCAGTGTCCCGAAACTTACGTATCTTCTTCCGGCTGATAATTATTCAACGGGACAATCTGAATTAACAACTAATTCTTTTTTCGAAAATTTGAATCGAAAATTTGATTAGACATATTTCACGACAGATTAATTTCTTTATGAAATTATAAAATAAGATTAATGTTCAAATATAATAATTCTTATATCTATACCTATGAATCAATTAATTGATGATAAAGAAGAATAGAAACACGAAGAGAAAGAGGCTTATAATTTTGTCTAATATAACTAGGAATTTGAAATCATTCACTCGATATCTAGCGTGGAATTAGTTATTCTCTAAAATTTCTTTTCATTATCTATGAAATCTAGTTTTACATTGAGAATATATTATGATACGGTCTGAATAAGTCCAAATTCAAATGTAGAGGGATGCGCTTTTCGAATTTTACATTGATCGGTTTACTCGAAGAATAGTTACGAATAAACATAATTTATTTTTATTATTTATTAGGTTTAATATTGTATAGAGTAGAGAATTGTAAAAAATTATATGTTCAATATACATGTTACTTAGTATTGTATAAATGAAAAAAAGAAGTAAATTTTCAGTATAATTTAGAGAAAATATCGATTACTGGAGCGTTCTGTACGTATTAAAGATAGGCGTATATTTTGCGAATAACACTGATAAGCGAGCTATTAATTATTTATGTTAGAAGGAACTATAGACGTTACAATTTCTTATCGAACGAACAACACCAATCGTAATTTCTAATCTCGCTTCTGATTGACCGAATTAACTCTTTTATGTTCTATTTATTTAAGAATGTTTTTCTACGACGTGTTACATCGTGATGTGTTATATCGAATAAAATAGCTACCATAATCATTATCAATCATTTACCAAACTCTCGAATTGATCAAGACCTTTGTACACAAAATCAAATTATTCGCGTGTTCAACAATATAATAAGTGTAAAGCATTTCGATTAAAAAACTGCAAAAGCAATTATAAGACAATAACTTATTTTAACTTTGCGTTAAATAAAAATAACAAAAGATAATAAAACGGTATAAAATGTTCTGTCTTTTATGAATAAGAAAATACTATTTTACTGCGTGGACGCTGAAAATTGATATGTCCTCATATACGCATTACGTAAGGAAGAATCCGTAACTGAGAATTCTCATCTATTCAGTGATGCACAATGTTATAAAGGCACAATATTATAAAGAGGTTCATCGTAATACAGGAAACTGTAAGCAAAGATTGATGGAATGTAAAGAAAGAGACACAGCCTTAGAATTTTCAATTCGGTTTGCATAAACGACAGTTACGGATAATCCATCGTTACCTTCGAGTCGCGCTTATCACGTTAACGAGACAGTTTATGTAAAGTAGAACGGAATTACGGTAACGCGAACACCTAGTCCTCCATTACGTATCTAACTAAAATAAAGGTTATAAACCGCATAAACTGTCCGCGAGTCCGCCTCTTATCTCTTTTTCTTTCCTTTTTTCTTTATTATTTATTGGTTTATTTATAATATTTTTTAATACTATAAGTGTAATTTAGTAACGAATTTATTTAGAATTGTACATGTTATTAAAAGATTAATATTTGAAATGTTTTATCACTTTGTCCAACAATTGGTGTATCAAAATGTTTACTATTAACTGATACGTTTATCTTACATTACATATTATATATCTTTGCATTCTATTTTCAAGCAAAATTTTAAAAAAGAGAAGAAAAAGAAAGATGAATGGACGTTAAAAAATCATATTTTCGTCTATGTCGAGAACAGTTTCTGTTCTGATGGTACGATCAAGATTACTGTCGATATATTCGCGATCATGCTAAAGTGGGTGCATTACTGCCCGTTGCCGAGGGATCGCACGGTCGCTCCTTCGGACGCAAAGATGATTGTTTCGAGCGAGACTACGAAAGACGAAAAAGACGAAGAAAGAATATTTGAAAGAAGAAAATACGGTGCTGACACGGTGCGAAATACGCGAAATACGAAAACCGCCACACTGGATGCCATCATGAAGAGATGCTTCCGGTTTGGGGTAAGGAGCAAAGGAAGTCGGACTTGACAGTCGGCTACACACGGCGTTCACGAGCTTCTTCTTCTTATGTATAATTCGCGGTCGTATTCTCTTCCTATTTTATTTATACCTTGAAATCCGTTAGTGTATAATTACATTTCTCCCCGATTCAAGTTGATTTCTTATATTATCTCAACTAAAACGAAGAAACGAATTATGAGATTATCTAGATGTGATATCCTTGTTTGCGAATATTTCTCTTGACATGACTTTATTGGGCATGTAAAAAGATAGATAGCCATATATGAGAAAAACTAACTTACCAATATTTGGGGCATCAAAATGAGATCCTTAATGTCTCTAATTATTGCAGATATTGTCATGCAAGACTTTGAGAATAATGCAATCACAAATATTGGAATAGAATTACTTTCCTCTCTCTATCTTATTTCTTTTATTTTCTTTCATTATCTTATTGGTAACACCAAAAGACATAAGCATATCAGAATATCAACAATTTTTACGAGGGATTGCATTTCACCGTTGAAATTGTAAAGAAACGTTGCATCAATTTTTGAACATTTCTTTTAAAAAAAATATTATTTTTAGTGTGGGGTTTTTCATAAAGAATTTTATTCAAAAAGATATTAATTTTTTTATTCTAATTACCCAATATGTCATAAAATTGGGTCAATACAGTTTAGTAAACAGAGCTATTTATTGTCGCACCCATTATTCCATCAAAAGAATTTACAATTTATTGTTGAAACGTTAATAAATAATGGATGCCTCATTGTATTGATTTTTAATAAAATGGAGGATACATTAAAAAAAGTTATTTGTCGAAAAGGAGATAGATAATTGTTAACCAGAATTGTGTGTGTGATTGATCAACATGGTTAGCAGAACTAGTCTTTATCGTAATATCAATTTTTACGGATTCGAGATTATATGATTACGAGCCACACATGATACATCGGAAGCATCGCTAACATGCGTTTCATGGTTCGCAGGGTTCAGATCCGAGGGTAGCGACCTGCAGAGGAAAACTACAGAACAAGCGAAGTAAACTCAATCAAGAGATCAACAAGGAGCTACGGTTACGAGCGGGCGCTGAGAATCTCTTTAAGTAAGCCGCGTAATTTATTATTATTTTATTAATTAATGTATAATACAATCATTTTATTAATCAATATAAAATATACATAATTTTTATGCATTTTATATGTATAATCTATGAATAATATAATCTATGGATAATTTTATTATTTTTTTACAATATCCTTTTTATATTCATTCATCCTATACTCGTTTTTTATTAACATTTTACTGCTAGTTTAGGCCCTACAGAAATAAACGTGACATCTTTATGACATGAAATTTGTATAAATGACACATATAAGAAGAGCAGTTTTTAATTATTTATGTCTCAATATTATAATGGTCAATCTCATTGTAATTACACAAACGTGTCAAAGTCTTCTAGTACAATATATAGTTTCAATTTTAAGAAATTCTGTTTTTTTAATTGAGTGTACTATCTTATGTATCTACATTTATTTTAGTTCTTATTAATTACATTATAGGGCAACGACTAACAGAAAATTGAAAGAGACCGTCGCATTGGAGTTAAGCTTTGTCAACTCAAATCTGCAGTTGTTAAAGGAACAGCTTGCCGAGTTGAACAGTTCAGTGGAACTGTATCAGAATGTCGATGGGTAAATTCGAAGAAAATTATGACTTTTATGATATGTGATGATGAAAATATAGCATATTAAACGGTATTGTTTTTCAGCGCTGAACCTATTATGCCGATGATACCATTAGGACTCAAAGAGACCAAAGACATCGATTTTCGAGATCCATTCAAAGTAAGTCTCGAATTAATGCGGTCATCAATTTGCGAAGTCATTGTTATATTTATGTGCTTTTTTTTATTCGTTCGTTTATTCGAGAGGTGGTACTTCTAAATTGTCCTCGAAATCTTCGAGATTCTTCTTCTCTTTCTTCTGTGTTTGTTTCGCGGAGTCTCCGATTATCTTCAGAAAATTGTGAACGTCCGTGGGTGGACCAATCTCGAGAAAAGCTCGTCGAGAAGTTACCTGTGGGCGAACTGTGATCACCTTCGTTTTAGATTCGTCAGATGTTTTCTTTCTTGTCGATTCATCTTTCCTGATGATTGTTGTACACGGAGTCAATCGGGCCATAGAAATCACTAAATTGCCAGTGATCGTATTCCGTTGAACGTTGCTTTTGTTAACCGATACTTCGCAGGGCAAAGTCAACTGCAGAATCTTTCCTTTTATAGTGACTCGCGCGTAAGTCGGATTTATGTCGACGTCAATGTAAGAGGTGTCCAAATGTCTTCATATATAAAAAAAAGCGCAATAATGATACGATTAGTACATGTTTATAAATATGTTAATATACATTAATAATATACGTTTAATAAATTTTGAGAATCTTCAAAATTTCTGGCAGATAGAAATAATCGCTATTCTAAGCGATTAGATATATTAGAAATTGATTGATTGCATTCATCATTAGTTAATATGTATACCAGTTTTTTTGTATTTTCTCAAACAAAACATTTTGATCGAGGAAGATTGGTACAATATAAGAATTTATGCTGTATCTAGAATTAATAAATTAATAATTTTTTTCTTTTTTAGTGATTGAGATAGATAGATGTTTAATAACTAATTCAAGAAAAATTTGTATTAACATATTTTTATAAATTTTAGTTTTATATTCTAAAATATAAATATTTTGTATGTAAAGTATTTTATATTTGATATATTTGAGTAATCTCGAATTTTTTTTGTTCTTATATATACATGTTTAAGATAATTGTAAATGTAACAATTTTTCTCAACTTATTGTCAGTAACAACTTGCCTTACAGATAGAGTTTACTTGCAGTTTTACTGACGGAAAGTTTTAGTTTTAAATATTTAAAAAACATTATAATGTAAAGTAAAAAAATAGTCTATTTAGTTAAAGATATATTAGATCAATACTTAGATATTCATTGATTTAAATATATTAGTTCATAAAAAGATTCTAATAAAAAATTGTAACAAACAGTTCTAGGTTTCTATCATGTGATTGTATTAATTAATGATTACTTGTAAACGTAAACTTCGAGAATAACAAAATCGGGATCGTTTTCATCGTTTAATCTAAATGGCACCTTCGCCTGATTTAGATTATATGCTCTTCCGTTTGGAGCGAATAACTTCAGCACAGGTTTTAAATGATTGCTCTTATTCGAACTATGCTTCTTTTCTTGTTTTTTTATAAATTGTTTAGCGATGGCTACTCTATCTTCGGGCGTATGATAACTAGACTGCTTCCAGAAACGTTCATCCTCTAACTCTTCATTCTGCTCTGTGTTTGTATTCTCGCTTTTCTCGTTCTTTGTGTATTTCGTTAGTTCCTCTGTAATATTCTAAGGAAGATAATTATACGCTCATCTTTGCATTTTTCATGTGTAAATGAATCTATGACATAACTGTTTACAGATGTTTAACAGACTGCAGATAATTCAAAATACGCTTATGCAGATATACATATACATATATAGTTTAACTAAAAAAATATCAGCATTATTTGTACATATAATGGGTGATTTTTTGGAAAATCAACATGACATCTTCCCGTATAGTTTTCGATATTGTTTATACTCCGCAAAAGTATTTTTTAGGAAAATATAACGACTCATATTTTTTTTAAACAATCCATTTAACCGTGGTACTAATTGCAATTCTTCGACATTTTAAAAACATCAATTTTATTGGTTTTTTTTTACCTCACAGTAAATATTTTTAAAACTATTACGTAACAGGTTCTTACGTAAAAAATTCTCTACTTTTCACAATAAAAGTAATCTTGATTGATTTAAATTTTATAAAAGCAGTAAAAATCATAAATTAAAAAAAACACTGTTTTTTTCTGATCTAGGCATTTATATTAAAGTAAATATTTTTTTAGAAAACTGACAATTTTTTTACATAAGAAACCGCTTTATTTAAATTGGCAATTTAATTCAGTTGCAATAAAATAATTTAGTAAATCAAGAGTAGTAAAAAAATTTATGACATACCTGTGTTAAATGTTATTTGTTACAAAATTAATATTTGGTCACATATTCTTGTATAGAATTTTTAATTATTTTGCTATTTTGATTTAAAGGGATGCTGCAGCCGTTTGTATATTTATGTGTTTGCATATGAAAAATTTTTGAAACGCTTAGAAGACTTATACAAATGGCAAACGTTTTCTGAATACTTTACAAACGCTGCATCAAATGGTTAATTTAACCCAAATTGTATCTTAATTAAAAAATTGCATGATCAACATAATAATACGCATTTATGTATGTCAAAAAAAATTTACCATTTGATTGATTGTTTTTTTGATTTCATGTTCAGCATTACGACGAGCTCGTTGAGCTGTTCTAGTTTTCTCGTAATGCCGATAGCTCTCAATAACATCATCTCGCGCTCGCGAATAGATTTGTAATGCCTTGATACGTTCTGATCTTTCAACCTCCTGCATATCCAACTCTTGCAATTGCGGTAAAGTTGCCACGATATATTGTCTATAGTATTCGTAATCCATGCACGGATTTCCCATTAAAATCAGATGCTCTAAATGCTCGTTGTACCTATATATGTAAAACATGAAACACACAGTTTAGAGAGAGAATCAAAAGGGATTTATAATTCTATTATAAATAATTCTATTATAATACCTGAGACTTTTTACACTTTGTAAATTTCCAATAAAATTAAGAGTGAGGTCTAACTTCTTTAAATTCTCTAAACCTCCCAGGTTCTCAATAACCTCGATGTTATTCAGAGCCAGATTTAAATATTCCAGCCTTTTCAACATATTCAGATTCTCTATCTTCGATATGAGGTTATTTTGCAATAGAAGGATCTTGAGATTTCTGCAGTGTATGTCTATCAGTTGAATTTTATCAATATTCTCCTGATGTAAAGCTATTTCTTCCAACGTCGATATTTCGCCTTCATTGTGCTCCGAACGTTTCCGTATTAATTCGAGAGTAATTTTTGTCATTTTGATCTTGCGTTAGTTTTTAACTTTATAATGAGAATCACGGGAGAAAATCACAAATGTCGTGAATAGAAATATCCAAGCATGCATTAACCACGAAAACTTCGTAGTTGCTATGAAGATATCGATTTAATATTGTCAGTCATATTTTCTGATTCCACGTGCTACATGCACATGTCACGTCCAAATAATCTTTTATTTTCTTATAGGACTTTATCTTGGAGCATTATAGCGAAGATGGGGAAAACTATGAAGAAGCTATAGCTGACTTGATGGAAACTAGACAGGTAAATAAATAACACATATTTTTCCTCGTAATAATTTCCATAAAATTTACAAAAAATATTCAATTTTTTATCTTTCTTCCATGTTTATAATGTTTTTATCTTTCTTGTTTACATTTGAGAAATGTTCTCTGGAAAACTTTGCATAGATTATGTCCAATTTTTTTGTTATAAAGTATTTTGTATCATAATTTTCGATAATTTGATTATTCGAGAGATATAAATATATATACTTAATTTAATTTAATATAAAAAGAAATAATATAATACGAATTTAGGCCGATAAAAATATAAATATAATTAAATATAAAATTTTTTATATTTAGTCGAAACAAGGTCTTAATACTTAAATATTTTTTGTGTGAATTTATATACCTACATACCTAATTTTACATATTACGCGCCAAAATCTTTTTTGATTTTGAAACTCCAAAACTAGATTAGTAACCACTTTAATAATTTTACAACCAGTTAAAAAATTTTTTTATAGTAATAAGCATCTTTATAAGATTATTGATAGTCAAATGATAATCTAAATAATCAATAAGAATCTTAAAATCTGCAAATAAGTGATATTATGGTTCCACTAACGTTTCAAGATCGAAAGATTTTGGCGCGCAATGTGCGCAAAAAATATATAAGCACTAAGATCATGTTTTGACCGATTATAAAGAAAACCGTTATATAAATAAATATTTTATAATTTTATATTATTTTATATTCGCAGGCTACAAGGACACCGACCAGAGATTCAGCAGGCATCGCGTTACTCCTGCGTTATTATAATCAGCTGTATTTCATAGAGAGACGTTTCTTTCCGCCTGATAGAAGCCTTGGCATCTATTTTGAATGGTTTGATTCGTTGACAGGAGTACCGAGTTGCCAACGAACGGTCGCCTTCGAGAAGGCGTCCATTCTTTTTAATGCCGGCGCACTTTATACACAACTGGCTGCCAAGCAGGATCGTCTGACCGCTCGAGGACTCGATCAAGCAGTCGATGCTTTTCTCAGAGCGGCTGGTACCTTTCGGTATATCCATGAGAATTTCACAAATGCACCGAGTATGGATCTGGGCCCAGATATGTTAGAGATGCTGGTACAGTTGATGCTTGTAAGTTCTTGTTTTAATCTTATAATTATTTAATATTTATTTTTATAGTTCAAATAAAAATAATTACTTATTCTTGCAAGGCCACCTTTATATTCAAATGTAACTAGTCTTTGAAACGGCACTGCTCATAATTAATAGTCCTTTAATATTTTTTAATATTATGTATTACATAACTCATCGACTCGCGTAAAGATACGGTGCGGTCTCGCACTTCGCGTTCACTTGGCGCGGAACACTACCGCGTCTCTTGATATACTATTAACGATTAATTCATTTTGCATTTTTACATTTTAGGCTCAGGCAAGAGAATGTCTCTTTGAAAAGCTGGAGCTTCAATCGAAAGATAGCAGAAACGTCGATGTTTGTTTAGATCTTGCTCAAGAGGCAGCTCAGGTAAAAAAAATAAAACCTTTTCACAATTTTTCTGCAATTATCGATGTAATAAGTACAAGTGAATCATGAAGATGATTTAATCCAGGTTGCAGCGATATACAATGATGTTCACGGATTGATATCACGTGAGCCAGTTCGTGACTATGTTCCAGAGACGTGGATCTCGTTGATACTGGTGAAGCGCGAACACCATCTTGCCCTCGCTCACAAGCATATCGCTGTTGGTCTGCTGGACAGACCAATCGCTGAATTTCGCGTGGAAACAAGGCTCACATTAGAACATATCCAAAAGAGCGACGGAAAAACTCAATTGGACGCAACTATTCCCAGAGATGACAACGAAAGGAAATTATTGGGTACGTTTACACGAAATTTGTTTTATATTGATATGATTATTTAATATTAACAAATAATATTTTTACTTTACTAATTCTTTCAATTTTTATTATATTCTTCTATTATATTCTCAGTAAGGAACGTACAGAATAGAATTTTTTATTGTAGGCAAAGCACATCTCAGAGAAGCTCTAGTTTTGCATGACGAGAGTCAACGACTCCAGAGAATGTGCCGCGAGCTGAAAGGAAAACAAGCTCTAGCAAGGGTTCTAAAGAAAGCTCAAGAAGCAACGCTTGAAAGCTATAATAGGTTTGGTAATGAGGACGATTTTCGAGAACTTTTGGATCCACCGGATATTATCGGTATGACTTCGTAAGAAACCTATAAATCAAAACATAATTAATTTTGTCTCCTTCATTTCGATGAAAATAAATCATAATATCAAAATGCATATACTTTTATTCTGCTATTTTCTGTTTGCAAATGTAGCCTCAACAAAATTTCAACTTAGTATCACTCACCCCGATTTTGGACAACACGGAGTGGATGATCTTTTCAAATCTTTGGGACCTGTAGCGATATTTTCTGCTAAACGACATTGGACCGCACCGCGATTGGTACAGCTTCAAAGAGGCCCTGATGGCGAAGGTTTCGGATTTAGTGTTCGCGGTGATGCTCCGGTGATAGTAGCAGCCGTTGATCACAATTCGCTAGCGGATGTAAGAATTAAAATAATACATAAGGGTATTACCCCAATACGACAACGGTTATAAAATTATATGACAAAATCTTGTATAAAATTTGTAATTTGCAATTATATTTACAATGCGAATATATTTACAAAATATATGCAGAAACTCTGATCTTTTTTAAAATACAACCGTTTACTGAATTAATTTCGATATAGTATTTCAGCAAAATATTAACAATATGACGAATCATCACCATATTTATCCAATTAAATTTAGAATTAAATTACCCAATAATTGGAAAAAATATTTTAATTGTACTTCAAAAAGATAAATGTGCTTATAAAAATGTACAGTTATTTTTAAATTATAAATGTAGAATATATTGCAATATAAAGTATAATACATTTAGCACTAAATTTAGTTTCAGCAACAAAATTTAAACTACTTTTAAAATGCATATATGAGTTAGCATTCCTTCTGGAAGTGTTTGTCGAGTATTTAAAAATAATCGGTTAACGTGTCCTGATTTGTTTAAAAAAGCCATTATTATGATTACAAATAATAATATTAATGATAATAAAACTTTTTTTTTATTCTAGTTGGGTGGAATGAAGGAAAGTGATTTCATAGTTGGCATCGGCGACAAAGATGTCAAATGGGCGTCCCACGAGCAAGTCGTGCGGATGATAAAACAATGCGGTGACTTTATAAATTTGAAATTAGTCACCCCAATGGATAGAAATTATCTAAAGGTAAATAATAAAATTTATTACTAATAATTACTAAATATTCTAACAAAAATGTAATGTAATACGTTAATTATAATAAGAATACTGTAAACAATATGGGATAAGGTCACCTAAAAGTATGTTAAAGAAGTATGCATTAAACTTTACTTACTAAATGAGAATGAATTGAAATGTATTGAAATTTTATCTATCCAAATGCGAATTTGCAATCAAACTCCGAATTCTTATACATATTGTACATACAAAATTATGTAGCATGAGAGAAGAAGAACGTACTTTTAGGCAGTTTTATTTTTATCCTATGTAGTAATATCATAGAGATTAGGTAATTGAAATTAATTAGTTTTAATAATAAATTTTTCTATTTGTGTATTTTTACATTTTTTTTTCTTATTAAAAATAATAATAATTATTAAAATATTTCTTTGATATAAATAATCTATCAATGTAAAAGTACGCGACGATAGAAACTAATAATTTTAGAAACCAGGAAAACCCAACAACCATCACGATAAAGGCAGCGTCTCGGCAAGCAGCTCTTCTGGAGTTTCTTCCGGTCAACCGAGCCCAGCGGGATCCGTTACTACGGCGCACGTAGTCAGAAGACTTCCATGGAATCCATTTAAAAAATCCGGTATTCAACGCGAGAACAGAGATCTAACCTTCGACAATGTTATTCTTAGATGATTACCGAATTAGAGACGGCCCGATTCAGTTATCGTATATAAAACATGTATATAGAATATATTGCGATGAATTTGATCAAAATAAAAATCGATTAAAATTCACCGATTGCCAAAATCGAATGTTATTTGGCATAAATAACAATTCTTATATATTGTACAGATAATATTCCGTGTTAAACACAATACATATATTTATGTGTAAGAGACTTTCTACAATAAGTAATTACTTATTAAAATGTAGACTGGTTTAATGGCAATGGTTTGTCTTAATTCTTATTATAGAAACACTAATATTCATAGTTGATACTTGTATTTAAAATTGTCTTAAGTGCAGACTTAAGGTATCATGAACCAATCAAAGAGCCGTATTAATATTTTAAGACATTACTTAAGACGATCTTGAAATAAGAACGGGCTATGAATTAATACTGCCTAGGTCTTAAGCCGTAAAAAATCGTAATCAATGTGTGATTATTCTTGTCATATTCAACTGTGATTGGTCAATTTCTTATGGCTTAAGATTTAAAGCTCAGATAATGGCTTATTGTAGAAAATTTCTAACATTAATTTTGCAATTAATATTCATTACGCGAGTAATAATTGAAATTATTGTATATCACTAAATATCGAAAGCATTCAGAATTTTTCTGTTTATTATTAACAAAGTTTTATCTGCCTTAATGAAATTTTTTCTTAAAATTTTTTAAATATATTTAAAAAATTGTTCGATTTCAAAATTTCTCAAAATTTTTGTATAATTTAACTTGTATAATTAATTTTCTACAAAAATTTCTCAGATTATTTATACAAATTGGAACATTTTTAAAAAGTAGTGAGGAAATATTATATTATATCTAGAACTCTCATAAATTCTAAAATATTTCCTCATTACTTCTGAAATATTTTAAAATTTATAAGAATTCTCATACTATAATTTTTGAAAAAAATTTATAACATACATAATTATAATATATTTAAGATATTTTTCAGAATTTTTAATTTCTTTATTTAATAAATTTAAATAACAAATTTTTAAATATATTATAAGATACATTATTAGAATTTTTTTATTAGAGCAAACAGCTCATTATAATAAAATTTTTGCTAAACACATTATAATCAAGTTTAATTAGACGAGTTTGATAAAATTGCACTTATTGATATCTATTGGAGATTTTTTGCCAATATTCTTACGAGTAACAGTGCCAACGTAGGCGTGTAGTGTAAGCGTTTAAGCAAACGCCCATTTATTTCGATGGGCACACGTTTTACGACTGATTTAAGCTATGTACGATCATACTTTTTGTCATAATGTTTATGTAAATGCGTTTATAACTGATAAATCGGATTATCAGAAGAATAAACATATTGACAAATAGTCCTATAGCAACACGAGATGTAACATGTTCTGTAATTGTCGTGCTTTGTACTTAAGCTTTCTCGTTAAATCGTTAAACGTTTTAATATAAATTAGGTCTTTATGTGCGTATTTACATTTGTATACATCTGTACATTTATACATAGCTGTAACATCGATAGAAGCGTGTACACTTTTTACGTTATACATATACATATAAGAAATTATATCGCATTCCATTCAAAAACTATTTTTATTTCTACCTTTCCAAAAACACCTAAATAGTTTTTTGCAGATTTTGATCTACTATAACTATTCGGACTATCATCTTCAGGATTCAAAAAAGCATTATAATCTTTCGAGATCAAAAGATATCTTTTTAAGAATTTATCAATCATGCAAGTTTTTCAATCGTTATGCAAGTGGATAATATCAAATAATATGGATTAAATCGGTGATTGACATTACATATTTTAAAAATATTTCATTTCAATATGCATAATATTATCTTACTGAAGTGGTTGCATTTTCATTTCAATGAACATCGCTGAAGCTTTTAGGACCGCCGGAGAAAGTGCAGCGCCTGAAACGTTCCTTAGAGTACATGGTTCTTAAATCATGTATACATCTAACGAATATTCGGACACTCATGTTTGTGTTTGTAAACAGTTCATTCTTCTTCTTAATTGTACAGAATACTAGCATTTGATTAGATTCAATGTTCGTTGCACATAGCAATTTTTATGCGACTTTTTTATGTAACAAATAACAATACAAACTTTTGCGATCGCTATTCATTTGGTGTTTGTTCGTTAGATATATATAATACATGGCTTTAAGCGCCTATTCTACAATGTGTTTTTTGTTTCCTGTTTCTTGCTTTTTTCCCTTTTCGCAAGCGTTTTATTGATTATTATATTTCTTGCCACGTACATACTTCTTATTTCTTCCGAACTTTTATCTTGGGTGATAGAAAATGAAAAATGAAATATGAGACAAATATAACTGCGTTGACTCTTTACAGCCTTTTAATTTTATGATATTGTTTATTTGTTTTGAAAAATGAAATATGAGACAAAAAACAAGATGCAAAAAATAACAAAACATAAAATTTAACAAAATGTACATTGTAGAACAGGTTTTTAATGGTCAGACACGAAACTTTCAACGAACTTGTGCAGTAATTACGTAAGCTGATTCTGCCAAACCGTCTGAAATTCTTATATTCGATATTTCACATTTGCATACATGTATATGCATATGTATAATTCGACCTTCCGAATATCTCGGATAATTAAAGTCATGACCGAAGTATTATAAACTTATGAAGTATTATAAGATGCTTTTCTTAATTTTGTTAAAGACATGTAACTGCGTTTCATATGTTTTGAGCTACTAAATCAAATAAAATTCTACTTTTGTCGATATGCCTAAAAATAAATTAAAAATATAACACACATTTTTGTATATGTATTACTTACACGATAAGCACAATAAATTACCTTGCTCCGCCCCGAATTAACGAACGCTCATCTATATATATAATTATCTTCAAAGCTTCATATTAGTTACGGTCATGAAACAACTTTGCCGTGATTTCTACTTTCTCAAATGTTCGTCAATGTATAAGCATTTATATTTCCAATTTTTAGTAAATTTCTAGGATTATATTAGGAGTACAAATTAGTTCGGTCCGTTTTCCAAAAGATGATCGCCTCCAAAGACGAGTCATTTTTTCGAGATGGAATTCGAAAATTGTCTGAGAGATAGGAAAAAGTAGTAGCCAGCGATGGACAATACTTTAATTAATCTGTTCATTCAATTTGTTTTGAAATAAATGCTTTTTGAACACAAAAAACGGACCGAACTAATTTGTATAAACCTTTTAATTTTCAAAATGTAAAAGTTAATTATCTTAAAATGCGAAATACGTAGTTTTACACCTTTAAGAATTTTAAAACTACAAAGTACTTTTTAATTTAAGACATAAAAGTCCAATTATATATATCTGATTATTATTAATATGTGTGATGTATATTGTTCTCTCTCGCGCGCGCGCATGTGTGTGTGTGTGAGTGAGTGAGTGAGTGAGTGAGTGTGTGTGTGTGTGTACATATACATATTATATATATAAGTGTGCATTGTGACTTTCACCGGTACAGCATTAAGAAACGTCATGCCAGCGATCGATTACGTAATAATTTACGTAGCCGTAATAGTAAAGAAAGCATGAGACAGGTTTTAGCGGATTAATTTCGCGGAAGGAAAGACGGAATGATTGTCCAATTTAGCTAACGAGTGAAACACTCATCGCTTTCTGGACATTTGTGTTCCTTCATACACCTCATGTGCCAATCTTGAGCCTGAAATTGATCTTTTGCAAAACTTTAATCATTATATATTTATTTTCATTAATATAATACCTCAATCTCTCTTTTTCGTATATCGGGATTAATCCAACAATAGATTTAAACAGAGGAAGATAGAGAGGAAGAGAGAGAGAGAGAGAGAGAGAGAGAGAGAGAGAGAGAGAGAGAGAGAGAGAGAGAGAGACCTACACATTTAACTTTAATTTTTTATTTAACAACATATTCAATGACGTTAAAAGTCATCAATTTGATATGTCGATTCCATTGTCATTTTTCACTGGGACCGCGCCCTCCTCTGAAACCTGCCGATCGTGTATATTGCACATTACCTTTGGTGTTAATACAGCATTGAGATAAGTGGCAACTGGTTTTATAATAAATAAAAGCTCTGTTTTCTTTCGTGTGCGACATCGTATAGCCATGAAAAGCAGGCAGACGTGGCGAGCGGCCATGCGACCCATGCGTGGCGTAACTGCAACGCTTTTACTTATAACATGAAGGGAATCCTTAAAATCGTCTGTATTATTGACTAAATCATATAATTTTTGTATAACAATTACTTTTTTCCTTTTTTAATGATTTGAAAATCCATTCCAGAGATTAAAATATACGCATTAATACATGTCTGTGAGAGGGAATGAATGCTGAAAACGACGTAAAACTCCGAAATTATTGGCCATTTAAATTCGGAGCATTCTCTATAATTATCGCAATTTTTTCGTTACACATGTTATTTTCGCTTTTCATGTAAATATAATCAATTTTGATGGCATCACTAAATTTTGTTGCAGACGAGAAATGGCCATGATGCCTGTTGGCGCGCCGGTGATTCTCATTCGAAGGAGTGGTGAAAGTAAAATGAAAGATTATGAGAAGAAAGTGAATCCTTCCAGTAGCGGTATCGTTGCAAAGGCGTTTAAAACCAGGTGAGCTTTTTAGGTGCCTTTTATGCTAAAGAAAGTAACACGTTGGCATTATTGTAATATTTTATTTTATATCTTTGCAATTTGATTTGGCCAACGCAAAAAAATTGTTATAAACAATAAATATATTCATAAAAATCCAATGAAAATTACATTCAAATTTAATTTCATAATTAATGTAACATTTAAACTTTTTTCTCTTCGTGATTTAAATTTAAAATTGTAGACATTAAAAAACATTCTTTCGTGAAACCTTTCGGTTATTTTAGAATATAAATTGGAATTAAATCACAAATTTAACAATAACAATAACAACAATAAGTCATATTAAGAAACTTAATATCAGAAATGACAAAAGATCAAGATTA